TTTTGCTTCTTTTAGAAGCTGCCGTTGGGTTTTGAGGCTGGTTTTTTTTTCGGTCACAGCTTGCCGGCGAAAACGACGGCAAGGATTGGTTTTTGGCAGGATTTTGGTTTTTTTTTCTTTTTTTGACTTTTTAAAGCCATTCCCCAGGCCGTTCTCATATCTCTGAGTACCGCCGGCAAAGAGTTTGCTCTACCAAATCCCTCCCTGCTTTGGTTTTCTCCGAACGACGGCAGCGGTTGGGACAGGCCGGTCTCCAACGATGACTTTTTTATGCGAAAACACGTAAAACCACCCGGTTATTTCCGCAGCGATGCGCTGACGCGACGGGCTTTACTGGAAGCGGCTCTTGAGGACACTTACCACTTGCTTCACGGCCGTAGAAGACTCTAAGCCGCTCCGAGTCCGCGGGGAACAATAATCGGGTTCGTTAGAGCTGTTTAAAACCCATTAGTCCTTCCTGCCGGCTTCGTTAGCTCTTGGCTTGTGCGTTCGGCGCAGATTTTAAGCGGCGCGTCTCCTCGACGGAGCTTTCCCGAGGGGGTTTTGCGGCCGTGCCTCGAAGAACCCCCTCGGTTTTGGGGACAGAGACCTCCAGGCGGCGGATTACGGGGTTGTACGTCGGAGATGGAGACGAGATCTCCGCTCTTAACGTCTCCCGTGGTCCCTCTCCGTCCCCTCGGCGCTCGGGGAGCCCCTTAAAACCCATTTCCCGAAGCTTTTTTAGGTGCCGAAGCCAAATCCTGGGGCGTTTCTCCCCCAACCCGGGAGCCCTCCGTTAATTTGCCGTTAAAACGACGGCAGATTATTCGGAGGAGGGGCCGATCGCCTCTTTTTTTTGCCCCCAAACTCTGAAATCAAGCCAGCGGGAGAGAAATGAGTTGGACGACGGAACTTTTTGGGTTTGTATTGCCAGAAACACCAAGTTTTCCTCCTCTGTGCCGGCCGCCGGTTGGCAGGGCTTCGCCTGGGCCTTACGAGGGAGTTTTGGGGCTCCGCGCCCTCGGTTATCGGGGCGCAAATTGAGTTTATTAACGAGCGGGGCGGTGATTTGGGAAGAAACGAAAAGCTCCGGGAGGGATTTACATCCTCAAACTCCCTGAGCCTGCGAGGGATTCGGGCTCCCTCTGTAGTCAGCAGAGAGAAAAAGGGAATTTGGGACTTTTTATTTAATTAAAACCGCAGCGAAACGAACCCCGTTTCTCCGTCACCACTCCACCTGACCGGCCTCCGTAAGAAAACGAGCTTGGCAATCCTCCTTCGCGTTTAATATTTACCGATTTCTTCTTCTTTTCAGTTATTCCCTCTCTGCTTGTTGGTTTTCTTCCGGCACATCCGACTTTTACTCGCGCTGGAGGAAAAAACCCGGCGACGAAACCGTTTCTCTCCCGTCTCCTCGTGAGATATCTCACGTACACCGCG